GTAGAAAATGATAAGCTAATGCCTAAGCACTCTGGGAGGCCAAGGTGGGTGGATAGATCAAGGTCAGGAGGTCAAGACCAGCCTGATCAAGAAGAACCATAAAGAAATCAGCTGGAAAATTGTATATATATATATATATATATATATATACTAATATATATATATATATAAATTAGCTAGGAATGGTGGTGCATGCCTGTAGTCCCAGCTAGTTGGGAGGCAGAGTCAGGAGGATGGCTTGAGCCCAGGAGTTTGAGGTTGCTGTGAGCTACGCTGAGGCCAGGGCACTAGAGCCTGGGCAACAGAGTGAGACACTCTTTCTCAAAAAAAAAAAAAAAATAGTAGCAGAAGAGTCCAAATTTTAAGAATTGTGAGGTCATCACATGTAGAATAAAAAATTATTTAGTGAAATAATTGTTTCAGTGAAAGTTCCTCTTTGAACAACATGTATCACCTCAAGTTTTTTGTATCTCACCACAAACACCTCTGCATTATGGTAGCTCTTAGCCTCCAGGTGTGGTTTTCTATCCTCTTTTAATCTAATTAATCAATGCCACACCTTCCCAGGTAACTTAATCCAAAGTTCATAATCCTTTCTAGAAGCAGTAGTCAATCACAGGAAGTGGGTGTGGTTTTAGGTGAGTCACACCATATAAAAAGCCCACCGGTGCACACTTGGAGACACTTCCCCAGAGAAGACCCACTGCATTAGTCGCTGCTGGGCTTTGGAGAGCCAAGAGTTACTGTTGACCTGGAAATTGGTAGAACTTTCAGAGCTTCCAGAAGTGAGACCACCGACAATAGACTTTGGTGCGTATGGAATTGAAAGTCAAGCTCTTGTTGCTTACTTTCTCTTATAACATTTATATTTTACTTTAACTTGACCTGTCAGCTGGCTCAAGTTTTATCCCAACAAACAAGTGGCTTTCATAGTTAGTAAAAATGACATCAAAATAAGTATCTGTAATTAGAACATTTGTAATGTATTGGTTTGTGTTAAATTGTTATTTGATCATTTTTATTTGACTACTTTCTTTATTGACAGATATTTAGGTTTGGTTTTTTGTTGTGTTGTTGTTGTTTTTATTTGTGTCAAGGTCTCACTCTAATGCCCGGGCTAGAGTAGAGTGGCATCATCATAGGTCACTGCAACCTCAAACTCTTGGGCTCAAGTAATCCTTCTGCCTCAGCCTCCTGAGTAGCTGGGATTACAGGCATGCACCACCATGCCTGGCTCAGTTTTCTATATTTTGTAGAGATAGGGTCTGGCTCTTGCTCAGGATGATCTCAAAGTCCTGGCCTCAACAATCCCCTACCTTGGCTCCCAAAATGCTAGGATATAGGCATGAGCCGTTGCATCCAGCCTTGAATTTTTTAAGGTCTTAAAAGATATATTACATGTTTTATGCAATTATGAGCTCATAAAATGCCCAAAAATGTTCAATATATATGGACACATATAGTATTTCTATAACTCCAAAGAAAGATAAATATGTTGAATTAATTGAAAAAGACTTCTTGTAAAGGTACTATTTTTTGTCCCTTTAAAACTTTCAGTTTGCAGATGAGATTTTATTTTATTATTTTTTTTTTTTTTTTTGAGACAGAGTCTCGCTTTGTTGTCGAGGCTAGATGAGTGCCGTGGCGTCAGCCTAGCTCACAGCAACCTCAAACTCCTGGGCTCAGGCATCTTCTGCCTCAGCCTCCGAGTAGCTGGGACTACAGGCATGCGCCACCATGCCCGGCTAATTTTTTATATATATTAGTTGGCCAGTTAATTTCTTTCTATTTATAGTAGAGATGGGTCTCGTTCTTGCTCAGGCTGGTTTGAACTCCTGACCTTGAGCAATCCGCCCGCCTCAGCCTCCCAGAGAGCTAGGATTACAGGCGTGAGCCACCACGCCCGGCCTGTAGATGAGATTTTAAAAGTGTTCAATATAGATTCAACTAACTGGTAAGGACTCCCAAGAAGTTTCTTGGTCATTATGGAGAAATATTGGAAATAAGCAAAATTGTCAGTCACATTTCCACTAACTGCATCTCTGGCTTCTATAGTGTAGAGAGAAAAGCTCAGTGCTTATCTTCATTGTTTTGTTTTGTTTTACAAGACAGTTGATTAATTGTTGCTAATCATTGTAAGCTGAAATAGTTCCCCATTTCAGAATGTGAAGTTGTTCTCCCTAGTCATCTCGATTGACTTGGGAAAGACTTTCCTAAACTCGGATTAATAGATAATTTTTCCATTTCATCTCTTGAAAGGAAGAGTTTTGACATTGAACTTAGAAGGATAAATTCAACTGTTTATAGTTATAGAAGTTGAAAGTTGAATTTAATGCTAATAAATTAAGTGAAGCTTAGATGAGACCTGTCAATTTTAGCTGTCTTCAAAAAGTCCATCACTGAATTGGTAGGCAGGGAGCATATACTAAGTGTCTTTTGTATGTTCCAATCATGGAGTCATTGATAGAGAGAGAAAGAGAGAGACAGAGATATAATGAATGTGCTTCTGCACCAGTCAGCTAATATAAGTAACTCTCTGGAATCTTCCCCACTTTTACCCTCTGCCCAATCTTTAAACTTGTCCATAATTTAGGTATGATTGAGAACCCTGCTTGTTTTATCAAAAAGAACCCCAAGGACTCCCTTGTCTCCTTTTGCCCTTTGTATCACGGTACAGTTGACCTTTTTACCTATAGGCTCCACATCTGTGGATTCAACCAATCACAGATCAAAAATATTTAGAGGAAAAATTTCTGTACTGAACCTGTAGAGACTTTTTGTTCTTGTCATTGTGCCTAAACAATACAGTATGACAACTATTTTTTTTTTTTTTTTTTTTTGAGACAGAGTTTCACTCTGTTGCCTGGGCTAGAGGGCCATGGCATCAGTCTAGCTCAAATTCCTGGGCTTAAGTGATCCTCCAGCTTCAGCCTCTGAAGTAGCTGGGACTACAAGGCATGAACCAGCATGCTTGGCTAATATATATATATTCCAACTAATTTCTTTCTATTTTTTCAGTAGAGATAGGGTCTCCCTCTTGCACAGGCTGGTCTCGACCTCTTGAGCTCAAATGATCTGCCCTCCTCAGCCTCCAGAGTGCTGGGATTACAGGCTGACTGCCACACCAGTTTATAACAACTTTTAACATAGCGTTTACATTGTTCAATAGCAGCAAAGTAATCACAGATTGATATAAAAGCATCCTCTCAGACACTGAAGATAAGACAACATTGAGCTAAATTTGGGTGTGAAGAAGAGGAGAGAAAAAGATGAGTTCTTAGAATAAAAATATAGTAAACTTTTAAAATCTGTATCACGTGGTGTGTGCCTAAATATTTCTTAATATTTAGGAAAATCAGGCAAAGTAACAGTAGAAATGGAAGAAGATTCAGGTAAATCAGGAAATAATTAATGTAGTAAAAACTGTGAGAAGTATCATGGGGAGAAAACTAAGACTCTTTAGACACTTTGATATAAACAGGGAGAGAGAATAGGGATGTGGAAATACAATGAACAGAAAGAACTAGAAAATATTGAAGACTGTTTGTAGGGGTGAGGCAAAAAATTTACAAATTACTAGATTGATGATAGTAAGGAAATAATTTGGAGTTTTAGGTTTTCTGTTGAGAGTGAGGGCATGTAATCCTTTGAATTGAATATCCTTGTAGGAATATGTGGCCTTGAGGAAGGTGGTAATCAACATCCAGTATCAGAAGATGCATCAATTTCTCCATGACGAGGAGCAACGCCACCTGCAGGCACTGGAGAGAGAAGCGCAGGAGATTTTCCAGGAACTCAGAGACAGTGAAGTGAGAATGGCCCAACAGAAAGAAAGGATGAAAGACATGTACAGAGAGCTGACTGAGATGTGCCACAAGCCGGACGTGGAGCTGCTGCAGGTGCGGGGGGAGGGACCATCCTGAGACAGGAATCTTTGCTGGGCGATGTGGCCAGGATGTTGAAATGCTACCTGCTGATACCAGCACTCAGCTGAGTGACACATGCTCCTTGACTCCCACCATTCTGTTTGTGGGAGTCACTTATTTCTACACAGTGTCCTCATCTTTGGGATATTTTTTTTTACAATTATAGTAGATAATATAGGGTAAAATTCTTATCAGTGTCCTGAGGAATACTATCCACACTGAAGGATTATCCAATGTGAGTAAAACTGTTGCCAGGGAAGTTAACTTTGTTGGGGTAACACTCAGTTGATGTCACTAATCCACCATGCTTTCTGCTGCCCCACACAAAAGCAAATAGCTGAAGGCATTGAGGCTTTGCCCCTTGTCCAGGCAAGGTTTGTGGAATTTGGGAACGGATTTCAAAGAATTCTGTTTTTTATATGGTTCCTTGATTTGTTTTAATTGCTATATGTGGTCAGCCCTCTCCTGGGAATAAGACTGGGAGAAGAGTGACACTGGGAACCGAGATCTCCTCTCATCGCTGCACAGCCTCTTCCTGGGCTCCTTCCTTCCTGTGCACACTGAGGAAGCCCCTCATGGCTCAGTGCAGACTCTGTGGTTAACAAAGCCTTGGATGGTTTCTTAGAGGGGAGTAAGAAAAAAAAATACATTATTAAAAGACAAAATCAACAAGAACAACAAAAGTACAAAGAGGGTTCAATAGAATATATTCTCATGATTAATAACTTTTTGTTTTCTTTGCAGGACTTGGGAAACATATTGGAAAGGTGAGTTTCCCCTAAGAATCTGCTATTTCTGAGAAAGTTGCTTTCTTGTTAATGAAGTAGATGCAATGTTTTGGGTTATTAATGTTGTTCTTTGTGGCTAATTTCTACTTTGTTTCAAAAGAGGTTCTGAGGCCTTCTCCTCCTAAGTTTTGGAAGTTTCCTTCTTATGTGGCTGAAGTCAAATATACCTAAACACAGTTTGCTATTCTGGGCTTTGTTCTAATCATTCCCCCAATCCTCTCCAGCCCTGATCAATAAACCTTCATAAGGGGATTATTCTAAGGTACCACAGAGAAGCCCCCTCTTCTAGAAAGGTGGAAGGTGAAGAAGACAGGAAAGGGGAGATTCCCTAAGGCTGGGAAGGGAGGGAGGTTTTGTTCCCATGAGTAGCCGTGGCCAAGCGCTGCTCTGTCCCAGCACACCCTCAGGCAGGACTGAGGACATGGCTGCCTCAGGACCATCAGGACCAGGCTGTCAGGCTGGAATTACATTCCCTGCCTGGTAGAAAAGATCCAAGCCTTCTAGCTCAGTCGATAGTTCCTTTTAGATACTGACTTTGTCATTGGTGACTGCTACTGGCTCAAGTCCCAAAGGCTGTGCCTCAGGGTTCTTCTCTCTATGAGATACTCAGGATCTTTGCATAATCCAAGGTGGTGTGACGGGTAGGAGGAGGGAACAGCACTCAAAAATTTTAGAAGTTGAACGTTATCTGAGAAGATTGTGGAAGTTGGACTGTGATTAAGTTAAATTTTTAAAAAAGTAAAATTTCTTATATCCCCAAGTGTGTGGAGTAAAGTGTATCTCTGGTTAATGAAACATGAAAGAATTCAGATGAAAGATTAATATCTTAGACTGAAAACCAGTATGTTTGTGATGACAGTGTGATTACCCTCGCCCTGTGGTGTAACTGATGCCATTCTTTGCAGGACCCAGTCAGTGCAGGCGCAAAAGCCCCAGCCGGTGAACCCAGAGCTCACTTCTTTGCGCATCACTGGACTCCTCGACATGCTGAACACGTTCAGAGGTGAGAGGCAGCTGTTTGGCAGTCAGGCCTTAATTTTTTTTCTTTAGTGGGTGTTTGGGAATGAGCTCTGTCCCATTTGAATTTTTTCTTACATGAAGATGGTACATGATTTTCCACATTTTTCTATCTTCTCTCTCTGAGTAGGCATAATGATAGTGACTGAACTTTTTGACTTAGATTTTGCTGAAAATGCAAAAGAAGATTCACATTTTACTTATAGATGACGTAGGCAGAGTAAGAGAAGAGTATTCAGGTCATGAGGTTATGAAGAGATACAATGCTTAGTTCTCAGAGGAGCAATCAATGTTCTTTGTTTATGCATTTACACCAACTTTGAAGGTTTGTATTTGGTATTGATCATTTTTCATTTCTTCTATATTGCATTTATCATGAATTCTACAAAGAATATATAGTTTTAAAATCACAATGTTTTGACGACAATTAAAATGATGAAAATGTCTATGAGCAAAACAGCTGTAAATACCTCTAACAATTGTAGATACTCTGGAAACAACTGAAAAAGAAAGGAACAGGGCTGTGAACAGGGCTCAACACAGTAGGCACTACTAGGCAGCAGAGGGCTATAGCTAGGATTAGATTGAATGTGGCAGGATCTGAACAGATAGTGTGAAGCCAGAACATTCTTTTCAGAACGTTTCAAACTACACATGTGGATTTTCAACAAATTTTTTGATGTTTGAAAATGTACCAGGTACAGTCTATATCTTAATAAATACCTAAACCCTACAAGTTAATACCTGTTTATTGATGCTATTCAAGACAACACAAGAGGAGTTTTCTACTAAAGTAAAAAAAAAAGAAAAAAGAAAAAAAGCTTAAGTGTGTCCTGAAACAAACTATTCAAAGGTACATATTAAATCACTGTTTCCCACAGTGATATGGCCAGGGTTTTCTCTTATGAGAAGAAATTTTGTGTGCTGTAGAGGTGGCAATATCCCTTGATCTTCACAGATTAGCGAGTCTGAACTCTCTTTGCCCTTTTTATTCCACATTTTCTTGAAGGAGAAGCAAATGAAGTGACTAATTCAGCAGAAATCTTCTGCCTTTCAGGGAATTTGCTGATCTGATTTTTGCTTCCTTTTGCAGTGGACAATCTTCCGATTATGGAAATGGCCAGTTGCTATATAAGCCTTTCCGAGAACCTTAGAAGTGTGATATTTGGTGATGAAGATCACAGAGCACCCTGGGAACTCGAGGCAACCCAGAGCTTTGCTGCATGTGGAGCTGAGGCCTTTGCCACTGGCAGGCACTACTGGGAATTGGATGTGACACACTACTCCAGCTGGGTTCTGGGAGTCTGCAAAGATTCCCAAACACAAGATAACAGCATGATTATTGATTGTGAGGATGCAGTTTTGCTATTTTCTTTAAAGGGGATCAAGGGTTATCGTCTGTCCACCAGCTCCCCACCCTTAGTTCAGTGTGTGCAAAGGCCTCTGAGTCGGGTTGGGGTGTTTCTGGATTATGACAACAGAACAGTGAGCTTCTATGATGTTTCTAAAGCCGCCCTCATATATAGTCTCCTTATTTCCTCTTTCTCTTCCCCTCTGAGGCCTTTCCTCTACCTATGTTCCTCATGAAAATTTAGGATTCATGATAATTTCCCAGTGAGCTTTCATGTCTGTTGAAATTATGTTTCTGAGACCTCATGTTAGGCAACAGGGCTGTGCAGCAGTGTCTTTGAGCTCATTGTAACTTTAGGAACTATAATTACTGTATGGTTATAAAATGGGATAGCCACATTAATGTATAAATTTGTTTATTACATTTTACTTTAATAAAAAAATTTTTTTGGAGTATTTACTAGAAAAACAGTAATGGCTTTTTCCTTTTTTTCATAACTGGTTTATGGGGAGAAATTCACATAATCTGAAATTTACTTTCTAAATTATTTAATTCAGTGAAATTTTGTGCGTCCAGCGTAGTGCAGCCATTCATATCTAATTCTCGGGTATTTTCATCAGCCTCAATAGAAACTTATTACTCATCAACTTTTCTTCTCCATTCTCTGGGCAACATTTAATCTACTTTTCATGTTTATGGACTTATATCAATGGAATCATATATGTCTTTTTAGTGTCTGGTTTCTTTTACACAACCTGTTTTCAACTTTCCCCTTGGGTTGTAAACAATGTGTTTTAATTGCATATATGAACCTGGTTACAGTAGAAGTAAGAAGTGTTATATATCTTAGCTTACTGAACAGAAGGCAGAGTGATTATTTTTTCTTCGACGTTGACATCGTTGAGTAGATGCAACTATCTGACACACTGTCATTTCTCTAAATCCTAATCCTTGGCACATTTCAGCTCAAACACAACAGTTTTTCAGGAAAATCCTTTCAGACCCTATAAAACAGGGTAGTTACATTATATTCTCTATGGGCATATTATAATATTTCATTACAACAGTCAAGAAACTCTCATTACAAACTATGATACTTAAATACTTATTACTACTATATTGGAAATTCCAAGTGGGTTAAAACAGGATTTATGTAATAAACATGAGGCAAATAAATTGATAAATAACTGATTAAAGGGGTTAATATGAACAAATGTTATTCTAGAATTAAGAAATTTTTGCAAAATTAAGAAACATACTCAGGATTAATGTTATCCAAAGATAAGAAATGGATTGATTTCCAGAGTCACAGTCTAAGGAAATTGTATTATGTCATGGTTAAATCTATGAAAATATTCAGACCCCACACTGACTCTGTGGAGGGCAGAGTTTTATGCTACCAAGAGAACAGAGTTCATCAGAATTATCAGAAATGTTAGGGAGGCCCCTGGATTTGACTATGGCCTGGATGAATAGTTTTGAGGCAAACTTTTGTATTTATTAGGGAGCAGAGTGACTTCAGTGAATAATTTGGTAGCTGAGGAAACAATTATATATCAGCTTTTTGCCCCGTCCCATGTAAGCTGCTGTGGGAAACATTCTCCTGCATCCAGGGCACTGGGCTGGTCCTTCAACATGAAATACCATGATAGCTAACAATGAGTCTCTCATTTACATGGACAGGGATAATGCACAAAGGAAGAGATGACATTTTCCCCAAGAATTAGCAGTAATATCAGAAAGAAAATATACTTGCAAGAGGGATTAGACAGAAGTCTTCTAGTCAGGGAATGTTGTCATGATAATCAAGTCCTTATTTCTTCCTCTTGATGGGAAGAGTATCGTTTTCTCAGTAGTAGCAGCAGAGAAACGTAAAAGCCTCTGGATGGGACTGAATAAAATGTTCTTTCTCTGCTTTATTGTACCTGTATACATGTACCTATGTGTTTATAGGTGTGTGTATGTCTGAATGTGTATATTATTACATGAAGCTGTGCATAGTATATAATATATTATGAAGCTATAGGTCAGTTTAGAAACTATGTGTTAGGCCAGCAAAAATCAAAATCCCCTGGAGAGCCTGTTACAGCATATATTGCCGGGTGCCACATCCAGAGTATCTAATTCAGTAAGTCTGAGATGGGGAGCCAGAATTTAACCTTTCTAACATGTTCCTGGTTGCTGCTACTGTCAATAGTTGGAGAATCACAATTTGATAACCACTGTTTTGGGCACACTTGACACCAAAATAAGTGGTGTTGATTGATTTCAGGTGGAGGTCATTGCAATCAGCTGTGCAGAGAACGTTTTTACTGTGTTAATCTAATCTGTGGAAACAGCTTTTCAGGATATCAAAATAAAAAAAAATCTCTGTTATTTTGTTTTGTGACTCAAAACATGGGTAATATTTACATTTTTACATTCTAGCATTAAGAAATTTTTGCAAAATGTAAGAAACATACTAAGGATTATTGCTATCAAAAGATAAGAAATAGGTTGATTTCCAGATTCACAGTCTAAGGAAATTATACTATGTCATGGTTAAGTCATGGTTTTATATAATCCTTTTATAAAAGATGTGGTTGAAATCTGTTGATGAAATTACAGAAACAAGAGCTTACGCCCAATCCTGTGACAGGCATTCTGAATTTAGAAGGGAATAGGCTGAGAGTATTTCCCCAAGCATCTAAATAGAAAACTCACAAGGGAGAAAAAGAGCTGTATAAGTATACCCTGTAGTCTTTAATTATGTATGGGGTAATAGTTTCACAGGTGACGATTTCCACAGAGCAGTAGGAAGGGAAGAGCTATATATCCGTGATTTCTTTCCTGTTGTTTGCTCAAGGAGTAGTGTGTAGATCTGTAGGTAGATAGCTAGAATCTCCGGCTCTTCCAGGGACATGAGTGTCCTACTTTGGTTCCGCCTAAGAAATTGCCCCACCTGGGAAGAAGGGTAAATTCTGGCTTCCACTTTGTTCTTGTCCCACCTTTAATCCTATCTTAGTCAACTGTGACACCTGGGGAAGGAGGGAACCAATCTGGGAATTCCCCAGCCTACGAATGATAGGATTTGGAAAGTGATCTAGAGTAACCTGAAGTTAATTATTCTGGCGTTAGTTTAAATCTGCATTGAGGTTCATCCCTTCTAGGTGGGGCTTTTAGAGAAGGGACTTGCCTACCCAGATACAACCTTGAGAATACCCGTTGATCCTTTGGTAACATCCCCTACCTCCCAAAATCCCTTCCCCAGAATAGGACAATAAAAGGAAACAACTCAAGAATTCCCAGAGAGTTAGTCAGTGAGTCAGTATGTCAGTCTGTCTGTCTCTATTAACTCTCAGAGACAGACCTGTGTCATTTTATAATAAAAAGCTAATCATGTGAAACTGCTTCTTGCTTGAGGTCACTCCTTAACACCAGCCCTGGTCGTATTATTATTATTATTTTTTTTACCAAGCAAGGAGCCAAAGATCTAGGATAACACTCCACCAAGAGGCTGGACCTGACATTTTGATGTTTCTGGTCATTCTTTGGCCATGAATATACCAAGAACTAAGGGAAGACTGCTGTGAAATTTTGGCACCAGGCCAACGATTTCTCTGTGTAGGTCAATCAGCTCATCTGTTTCCATGAAGACATTCTGACTTGGGTGATTTTGGTTAGGAGGTGTCTTCTTTGTTGTGGCTGGCCACCCAAGGACCAGTGCTAGTACAGATAGCCAGGTTGTAATACCAACAGATATTGTCTTGGTGCTCAAAAGAAACGAGCAAGAGGGTTTTAAGTTTGAGGGGTCACACACAGCCCCTCTCCCTACAAATTGGAAAGGAGACATCTGGACTGATACTTTGGCTGAAAGGCCTGCGTCATTACCTGGAATACCCAGCTCTAACTGACCCCAGCTAGCAAAGTGTTTCCCTTCTGCCCTTCCCCATTTTTCTCCTTACTTTCTAGATGTGTGCAAATGGATCGCCAATCCCTCTTAACACGCCTTTGGGATGCATTCTTTCAAATGGGGACTAGTTTGATTCAGACACATGGAAGAAAAAATGTTGAATCTTTTGCAGGACTATTACAAGTTGGATGGCAAGAACAGTGGCCAAGACTCCAAATTACTCCACTATCTATCAGCTGGAATTTTTTTGTAAAAGAGAAGGAAAATGGGACAAAATACTTTATGAACTTTCTTTTATTTATGGGAAGATCCTCAGTAGTGCAGGGGTATTAAAAGTCCAGTAACACTATGGTATTCAAAGATTTTCCTCAGGTTCCCACCTGTTCTGATCTGCCCCCATCACCTGGGAGGCCTGAGGGGTTCCTAGAAAGGGGGAGGTGGCTCAGCTCCTACCTTGGGTGGAAGTAGCAGGGGAGTCTGGACCAACTCTGCTTCATAAGCCTTCAGTTTAGTAGAGTTGAAACAAAGAAACAGGGTCTGGGGAGCTACATCCATCCCCCTAATCAGTATGTAGAGACATTCCATCATTTGTGTTTATCCTGGGACTTGGCTTGTGAAGATATACATGTTATTGTAAGCTAGACTTTTAATGATTTTGAGAAATCCAGAGTATTAATGGAGGCATAAAAGTTTGCCACCGGGTTACACCTTTCAGATCCTAGATATCCAGTGGGTAAAACAGTGGTGCCTGTGACTGACTCAGGGTGGGATAATAACTTTCTCAAAGGAGATGTGGGAGAGAGAACATTTTTAGTAACTGTCCAAGCTGGCCTCAAGGCCACCAGGCAAAAGGTGGTCAATTATTCTAATGTCTCCACCATAACTCAGGGGCCCGAGGAAAACCCTATAGCCTTTCTGGATCAGCTCCAGGAGGCAATAGAGAAGTACATCCCTCTTGATCTTAAGTCCTATGAGGGACAGGTGATATTAAAAAATATGTTTTTGACCCGAAAAGCACCAGATATTAGGAGAAACCTCCAGAAGATTGGAGTAAACAATGAGATGATTTGGCTGTGAGGGGCTCACTGAATTAGACTAATATTCCTGAAGTAAGAAATTTTCTTTCCTCATTTTCTGCCTGCCAGAAGTGGTAGGGGGACACTGGTGAGGCCGTGGCCCTTACCTTCTCTGTGAACTGTCCCTCAGGACTCCTGCAGTGAGTTGAGGGTGGAGAGTGCTTGATGGGAGGTAGGGTAGGAGCCTTAAGGAAATTACCAGACCCCCTATCCCTCTCCCCACTCTCAGAAGTCAGAAGTGTCCATTCCCACCCCTGAGAGTGGGTAGAGTCCCACAGGCAGCAGTGTTTCTACATATATATGTAAGTCTTAGATTTCAATGAGACTTTTCTTACTAGTTTCAAAAAAGTGAAAATTAAAACTAGGAAAAAAAACATTATCTATGGCATCTGAATGAACACCTCCATAGAATCGATGCCAAGTGGTGTCTGCATTTATTCTGGGCAGAAGCTCTGAATCCTTCCTTCTGCCTCGGATGCAAGTGAACCCCACCTTTCACATTCAGGATAGACAGAAAGATACATAGATACATAAATACCTAGAAAGGTATAGACATAGGTACATGATCCTGTTTTGGTCTCTGAGAATTCACCAGTACCACATTGATTTAACTTTGGTTAACTGCTATGTCTATATATTTAAGGATGCTGTCCTCTCCTTATACTTTCTTTCCTCTAGTTTCATATTTTGTCCTCATGAATATTTGCATCCAAAATTGGCATCCTGTTATATCCACTGTTTTGAGTGTTTTTGTTCCCTGATATGTTAGTGAATCATTTGTATTTCTAGGTAAACAATTTGAGGAAACAATGGAAATATTTATAATTTTCATACCTCAACTTTCCTTCTCTTGTTAAACGTGTTCATTTAGAAAATCTAGAACAATATTAAATAATAGCAGTGATAGGTTCTTGTTTTGCTTCTTGCTTTCAATGTAATGTTTATAGTCTTTGCAACAATAAAAATTATGCTGAGATATACATTTAAAAAATATAACACATTAAGAATATGCCAGATTTTATTAATTGGTTTTAATCCATAATGTGTATTCATTTTTATCAATTCCCTTTTACCATATATCAACATAATTCTGCCTTAGTGCATTATTAGTCAACATCCTCCAGAGACACAGCACCAACAGGAGATTTTATATACAATTTCACTTA